ACCATTTCTGAAACTGGGTGAAAGTTGAATGACCGTTTCTGCAATTTTTAAATTTCAGTGACCGTTTTGAAATTTTCATGTAATTTCAGTGACCATTTGTGAAATTAACCCTTCACCAAACGATGTGGAGGGAGGAGTGAGAATATTTGAAAAGCATATGATTACCTAACACAATACCATGTGAGCATCAATAATGTGGAATTAGAACAGTGCGAGCAATAATGTGGAATTAGAACAGTGTGATTCGTTGGATCCACGTTCCTGCAGTTGACTAATCATCACCATACACCCAAAATTGGGCAAAATACGGGAGTCAATTTGTGATGGAAATTTTGAGTTTCGAGAACCTTCCATTGCGTACTGATCCACGTGTGTCCCACTTTGTTAGGAGCCTTTTTGTTCAATTAGGGGCGTTAAATGGAGTGAATTGAACGTATAGAACAAGTTGATTCTACTGACTTGTCTATGTTGAGTTCGACTCATTCAATGAGCTCGTTCCTTGGTGTTGGTGACCAAGCTCATGAACCCGTGAACGAGCTAGCTCACCCGGCAAACGGCTCATGTGGCTAAATGTTGCTTTGCTCGTCCCACTTAACAAGTCATGTCCCACTTAACAAGTCATGTCATACTTGACAAGCATCTCGAAATATATTAAGCCATTGTTTAGTAAGGATTAAAATCGAGTCAAAATCAACAATTAATTTTAATCATATGTTTTTGTGGTGCTCACAACCTTTTAACCACATTTTTTATTAACTTTTATAAAAAATTACTAAAAATCTGATTTTACTCATCACCAAACAGGGGATTCTCAAATGTAAGAAGAGTTAAAAAGATAATTTAAAAAATTTTCGGGTGGAAAATTATACCAATCAAACACACTTAATTAACAATTCCCTACAAAATATTTTCTAGGCAATTATTTTCCCAAAAAATCATTTTCTTTCACCCATTGCAATCAAACGCACCCTAAATACAAAATGGTTTCCAGTCAAGTACTCTGAGAGATTCAAACCCAACATATTAGTAACAATTTGAATGTCTTTCGAATCAATTAGGAACATCCCAGTCGACATAATAATCAACAAATCAGATTTAACTACCAACTATAATGTGTTTTTAAGCGCCAAGGCATCAGTATCTTCCCATGTTCAATCATTCTGTATTGGAGCTCCACCAAATAAAAATCTGGTGTTAACAATGAAATGGCCTCAGTTTCAAGAAATCTATATCCCGAGGATCTATTGGAAACCGAGAATGGGTTCCTCCTGTTTAATATCCCAAATACTTTGGTGCTAACAACATCAACTTTTCCAAGGCACTCGGAGCAAATTTTCTAGCGAAAAGATAACAAATAGAAGATGACTTGTCATTATATACACAATTTTGGCCCTCAAAAATTCTCTTCATGAATTCCTCAGTTATATCTGATTGTCCAAAAGTAGCTGGGTGAGCACCTCCCCTCGACCAGTCCGTCCAAGTTATGCTTCTATTTGCCAATGAATTTGCAGCCTGAATACTCAATAGAGTCGGGAAATAGTGTTCGTCCACATAACATGCTGGTCGGCAGAACTCTGCAAATTTTGGGTAGAATTTAACATCTTCAACAATGTAGAGTGCAAGTTTTCTGTTGATTTCAAACCATTGAGACCCTTTACGCCACTGGGTGATGTTAACCTCGGGCAACATGTTGTAATCATAGCGCCCTCTCCCGTATGGCCCCAGGTCATCAAATGCGCCAATGAAGCTATATTTGGATTGTGATATGTGGTTGTATACGGTAGTGAAATTGAAGAGGGGAATGCAAGACTCGGAAAGTAGAACAAACCACTCATTGTCGATATCAAGCAAGGCATTAGCAAGAAGTCTTCTCTCTGCATCACACATGCTCATCTTTCCCCATTCTGATACCTGAAGAAGAAGAAAATCACAAAATCATCTGCTAGTTTATGAGATGCTGGACTAGAAGTGTTTCCAGATATCAAAGTGTAGTATTTATCCTTGAAGAAACCCATCAAATGCTTGTTAATTTACTTGAGAGCCAAGTAAAAAGAAAAATAATCAAAAACATACTATGGGAAAATTCAGTTAACCATGAGTTAGAGATTGCTTTTTCGCTTTGTCTGTATTCTGCAGTTTTCCCCCAACCCCCTCTGGAGAGGAAAGATTGGCAACTAGTTAAGTATGTCCCTTGCACTACTTCCTTGGCCGAAATAGCGAGGCAGGAAAGCATCGCTTCCTACTAATACAGTCTTGTTCTCTAAAAGCCTACGTCCCTTACTCCGTTTCTTTTAGTCAAAATAAAGGGGTGGGAAAAGCATTGCTTTCTACTTATCCACACTTGCTCTCTAAGAGCAACTCCCATCATTGGTGGACATGGCACATTATGTGATCAAGACGACTACTGTCATTAATATGTTTAACTCTCAGTAGAATCGATGAGTGTGCAGCTCCTTGTTATTCAAACGAATACTCCCTATTAGGGCTGAATAATGAAACCGCCAAACCGTAAAATCGAATTGAAACCGCTTTTTTGAAACCGTTGATTTGTATCCATGTGGATTCGTCAACATTATGATTTTAAACCGAACCATGCTTCTTTGAAGTGGTTTGATTTAGGTTTCAACCTTTGCAAACTGTTTCAAACCGTCAAACCGCTTACAAAAAAACTTGAAAACAAATTAATTTAAATTTATCCAACCCAGTTAAAATTAAGCACATCCCAGTTAAAAATATACATTCATGTTAGCATAACTCAAATTGAGTTAAGTGTTAAACTAATGTTGCTGAACGATATTCATCGACCGTCCATTATAACTGAGAACAATTATATCTAGATTTTAATTCAAACTCACACATTTCTTTTCCTTTTGCTAATAATTTTCTCCAATTTCAGCTAAATTTTCAGATCAATTTATCCAAATTTTCTTATATTTTGATAATTGTTCGCTATTTTTTTTTACACTCGTGCTGTTTTGTTCTAATTTGTGCCATGCTCCTTTAAATTTTTAGGGACAACATTTTATTTTATTTGCAACTCAATTTTCTGGTCAGATCACTCAATTAAGTATTTATATTTTAACTTAATTTCTAGATTTTACTAATAATTGCTAGAATGATTTGGTGGATTACTTCAATAGTCGTTTTGAAGATTTGACCAATGAGTATTTCGATTTATTACTTTGATGGAAATTGAATACAAATAAATACAAAGATTATCCCCTAAATTACTAAAGATTTGTTAGCTATTTAAATATCCACAATTATTTCTGAATCTGCATTTCCTACTAGTAGTCGGATTCTTGATTTTTTTAGAAGTTCGTTTAATACAAATATGGTTAAGGCGATGATTTAATTTGTCGATATTTGGATCAAGTAGAAGCATTGAATGATTCACAAAATGTTATAAAAGGTATTATTGTATTTGATCTTTCTATCATTTTCTTTTAGGATTATACTAGATGTACACCCGGTGGTTTACACACAGGGTTACACTCCCCTCACATTGAGAAGGGCTCACGAATATTTTATTTTGTGTGGGCCCCCCTCCATGTGAGGGGGGTGTAATCCAATGTGTAAATGATTGTGTACATCTAGCATAATCCTTTCTTTTATTAGTTGTTTCATATCATTTAACTATAGTCAATGAATTCATGTACTATATTTTTATATTTATAGAGAGAATGAATCACGTGTTACAAATGCAGATGTTGCACCATTAATATCGACTAAGGGGTTAACATGTTTCTATAGTATTATTGCATTATAACAATTATAATTATAGAACTTTGGTTTGTAATATTTTTAATAATACAATTTATGTTTTAACATGAAATTTTAGACTAATATTTAAGATTTAACTTATTCAATATATGTTATCTTTTTCTTTGTTAAACCGTGGTTTTAAACCAAACCAAACTGAAAAAAGTGGTTTGGTTTAGAAATTGAAATGGTCTGGTTTGGAAAAATTCTAAACCACTTTAAGTTGTTTGGTTTGAAAATTTGTTGCAAACCATCCAATCCGAACCGTCTTCACCCCTGCTCCCTATACTGATCCTTAAAAACACAATGAACGGGGATCCATCCTCCTTTCACACATTGCAATTTCATGCCGTAAGCTTACTGACAATCAAGTATGCACAAGCTTTCCCATCCATCCTTGTTAAAGAAATTCACGTAAAGGATGAGATCCAATTCAAGAGCCAATGCAATGGCATTGTTGGCAAGAAAATACAATGCAGCCATTCTGCCCAACTTTCGTTCTACTCATCACTTTGTGCATAGTGAACAATCAAACAGTACCTCACATTTCAAAAGCCATCTAATGAATACCCAAAAGTCTATGCCCACACCAAATTGGAATAGATTGCTAAAAAAAGTCACACAATCCTCTGAACAGAGAATTGAGTCCCTATAAAGGCACTGCTATGTTCAACTAAGTGTAGACATAAACCATAGTGGACTGAGATGTTTAGTCGGATAATTCGGAAATCTAGGAGCACAAACTACAATGAGATTTCAAAGAAAGGTGGGGTGGGGGGTTCCACTATCAATTAAGGTGCTTAAAATTAGACTGACATTTGAACCGAGGCATATTCAGTGTCATAGTAGGTAGTAATGTAGGTTGGAGAACATATCATATATTGATTCTTTGATGTAGGACACAAACTGCAAATCAATCCAACCTACCATTTCCTCATATTCAGTTTAATGAAGAGTATAATAAAATCATTTTTATGGGTAAAATGCAAGAGATCATATCCTAGTTCAACTTTTATCTACCACTTGATTTTGAAGGGTAAAGGCAACAATCAAACTAGAGAAAATAGCTCCACACCTCTATCCATCAGCGGCTAAAAGTAAAAATAATAACTATCACAGCCAAACTGGTTTAACATTAAATCGTATAGCAAATGGTTGTAGTATTACTTGGAAATAGCAGGGTGGAAATTCTCTGTTGTTATATCTAATCCAGTGCAAGGGATCGTGCTATCTAGAGCTAAAAAAATTAAAGAACAAAATATAACATCTATCAAAAAGAAGATGGTGTAAAACATATATACCTGACTTGGTATCTGTCTCTTGTAAAAAACTGATGAGGAAGGAAAATCAGCTTGATATGATGGCAGTGAATGGATATATATTGAATACAATCCCTTATGACCCTTAAAAAACCTCTCCCAAAGACGTGCCAATGGCAATGGCCCCTTAGTCAAGAACATGAATGCAATCTTTGGAACCCTCGTAAATGGATACTTCTTGACTTTGGGTGCAAAAGATGCCCTCCACAACAACTCCTGATCACTCATTGAATGCATCAAATCGGCCGGAGGCCGGATCCAACGGTCGAGATTATTCTGTGCTTCCCCAATGAAGGGCTGTAAAGTAGGCCTTACTGTAGTAACTACACTTTGAACTCCATAATGCTTAATCGTATAGATACTAACAACAGAGAAAGTGAAACACAAAGCCAGAAAAGGTAGAAGCAATTGAAGCAACCTTTGGGGCAAAACCCTGGATTGGCTTGTCCTGGTAATTACAGTGGGCTCTTTACCTTCCTCCATCTCTGTAACACTTCAAAAGTGTCCAAAACTAATCCTAATTATCCTAATTAATCTCCTGAATCACAGCCAATTCATAAATAACATCAAGAATTCCCAAATGGGCACTCTTTTTTCCGCCGTATGAATCTAATAAAACAATCAAAAAAAATTCATAACAAGAAAAATCGTCTCTTAAAAAAAAAAAAAAAGACCTAAAGAGAGAGAGAGAAGAAGAATTCGGAGACTGTTATTGGAGGAGTAATCAAAGAAAATACAGCGAGATTAGCATACAGTGGATTTGCAGAATATCTAACAAAAAAAGGAGAATGTGGAGGAATTTGGGGAGAGAGATGTATATATGTACGAAAAGGGTGGCAAAATCCAGAGGATGCGAAGAAGGGATCTGAAAATCTTAAAAAATCAGAAATGTGCGTCTTGAAATTATTTTTCACGAGAATGTTTTCACACGCGGCGCCAGAGATATAATGCAAGTTGAATTGTAGTTTTAGCCCCATATTTGAGCCACATTAAAATTCTCATTATCATTCTTCTATTTATTTTTAATCACACATTCTTCAATAAAATAATATTTTTCATCACATCAATAACTTTTTTTTTTTTCAATCACACATTCTCCATCAACCTATTATTCCAAAATAAAGTGGCTCAAACGCACAACATTTTTTTTTTCAATTGAGGCAGGTCATTTTATCTTGAGTATGATATTTATATTTATTGGATAAACGTACTTTTATATTAAAAAAATTATATTTATATATTTAATTAATTTTATCATTTCATTCCATATTATTTGCGGCATTAATATACAATCATGTTATAAGTACATAATTTTTCTACACAAAATCCTTACAGATAACACATGGTGCGACCCCATTAGAAGATGGAAAAAAATCAAATCACATTTTGTCACGTCAGCATCAATACACATTCAGTTAAATTTTTCACGTACTCATGGCTTTATTAGAAGATAAGTTGGCATAAAAGTGCCAGGACCACCACGATATTTTGAAGACACTAGTTCGAATTCATTTCTAGGTTCTGTTTGAGCCCCATTTTCCGAAAATATATTTTGTAATAGTTATTTTTGAAAAATATATGGTTGAAAAGTAAGAAAAATATTCNNNNTGGTTGAAAAGTAAGAAAAATATTCAAGTTTGAGTGTAAAATATATGTATTAAAAATGAAGTTGTAGAAAAATGAACTTTTAGAGAATGAGACTCAAATCGAAGCTTAAAGTTTTTGCCCACCCAACTTGTGCAAATTGCGTCTTACTATACAGGACGGCACTATCCATGTTAGGCCCTTGATGATGGTCTCGGTACACGGGCACGTTTGGGAAAGCAATTCTAATTGATTTAAATTATAAATAAGTAATAATGAGTCATGAATCAATAAAAAATAGTCATGAGTCCTACAAAATGTGTGGAGAAAAAGTATGTCTAATAAAAAAAATATTTATAAAATAAACACCTCCCAAATAAAAGGCAAAGTCTGCTCGTTAAATGGTTGGTCCAAGTGGGATGGTGGATTCACTACTCTCTCGACCTGCTAAAGTCGGTTCCTACATTTTAAAAAATAAAAAATAAAAAAAAAATAAAAATTCCACTAATAATCATTTGAGTGAGGATGGGGGTGTAATTTGGATATTTGTTGGGGTTGGGCGGTAAGGATTGTTAAGTTTGTTGGGTCTACTTTGTCAGTTAAGTGTGTTTCTTTCAAGTAAAGTAGACATGCCATCCTCTTGATAGTATTGTAGAACATTAGGGAAAATAATAAAGTGGAAATTACGTACAAACATACTTTTTAACTTTACATGTCACTAATCAAGTACAAAAACTTATCTTTCAAAAATCAAGTACCCACACCCCACCCTCCGTTCTACGCGCCCTACAACCCCCACCCCACGCATTCCACACCCTATCTCTTAATTGAATTCTTCCCAAATCCACCCTCCCATCTCCTAGACCCACTCTACTTCCAAAGCTTACCGTTGCATGTTGTTGTCGACATTCATCGCCTGCTGGACGCCCACTACCCTATCCCACCCCACACATCACCCCAACCTATCCTAAGTATCCTTTACCCTTTTCCCCAAATCACAATTCCCACTTCACTACCACCGCCACCTACCCTCCCTCTATCTTCAGTACAAGAGATGAATGAATTGTATACGCCTGAAATTTAGATGGAAGAATTGTTGGGGTCTTAGAATTTCATGAACTCTGAGGGATCTTAGAGGTGGAATATAAAGCAACCCAATCAAAGATCGTCATTGAGAGCTTAGATTATGGCAACAGGGAGATGAGACGAGCTTGAAAGCCACAATACTTTCTTTTTGTCTTGGACAATTCCTCATGGGGATGAATCGAGATAATTTTGAATTAGAACTCTTGATTTTTTATTATCCCTCGCCGTAATAATATATCTCGAGGTACAAGAGAGAATATTTAGGATATAGTATAAGGAAGCTTAATACGGTTGCCTTTATTTTGTTTTTGTATATGTATAGAGAGAAAGTTCGTGTTTGGAGAGAGAGGGTTTTGTAGAGAGTTAAAGTTACGTGGCCAGAAAATTTCTTTGCAAATGGGAGTGGGGCGGGGTTAGGAGAGATAATTATGGGCCAGCCAGGGTATATATGCATGCCAAGTATGATATAGACTATGGAGAGAGATGTAGGGTAGATATGGTTGTAGTGGGATATATATAAATTCGTACATTAAAAATATTTAAAATTTGATTATTGTAAAAAAATAATAAAAACCTTATTTTTTAAATTGAAACTTAAAAGTAGTGTTTAAGATAATTTTCCCTTTTGGGAAGTGGGAACTATATAGTACACAAGAAATCGGTATATATATATATATATATACTAGGTGCAAGCAACGTGTAATGCACGTTTACTTAGTTTATATTTAATATTATTGTTCAATAATAAATTTGTTATTAATAGAGATGTAATTTTTTTTGTTAATTAAGTGCGTGTCTGGGTGCGCTGCTATGAGTAA